CATCCCTCTCCCCACCTTAAAAGGATATCAAACAGTGTATAAAAAGTTTTGTTATTCTCTAGATGTTATACATGGGCCCAGAGATCTTACCATGAGGTGATTTCACAATTTCACCCATAGGAGAATTATGACAAACTGAAAAATATGCCTCATTTGTCTTTCTGACAATTTAACAAGGTTAGTTTAATTAAGCTAGAAGCTCCTCCTTAATATAGACACACTTTCAAACCTGTCCTTTTTAAGTGCATTGTTCACATCACACTTCTGATGAATACATTATGAAGCAGTTATAACTCTTAAGATATAGAAGATGTTAAAACCAAAAATCTTCTTTTGAATCTACTTATCTAATACTAAGGGTAAACAACTGTGCATGTCTTTGAAATTTCCCAAATGAGATGGTATAAATGCTGTTATAGAGAATAAATATAGCATCTTTTCAAAGGACAAAAAAAAAAAAAGATTATGCACTAGGTTTGTGTCAACACTGCAAATTTAAGAATTCCCCTTGAGGTAATATCTTAGCTGATTAACAATGGTTAAGAAGGACTCAAGACTCCAGTGCCTAAAGTAAATGGTGCATAAACATACTGGCAAAAATAGGTTATTTCTGATCTTTTAATTAATATTTGTTCAACAATCTCATGTCTTCAAGACACGTGTTAGAACTAGTCAGAAGGAACCTTAGACATGATTTAGTCCAAGGCTCCAGACTCTAGACTACACAGCACATTAAGATCCCTCAGTAAATCTTACATAATTACTCGATTCATCTGGAAGCCACTTGCCATCCTCTGCCATCTTTTATGTACCGGAAAAAACACTAGAACTTCCAGTGAAGATAATGCAACAGGAAGATAGGACAAGGAGTACTTTAGCCTTTTCTTTATTTTATTTAGGAAAGTTACAGTAAGCATTCCAGTAGTAGAGAAAAAGCATACAGGAGAAATGAAAACTAGTTTCTTATCACAAAACAGTTGGAAAAATCCTAATACAATCCATCTCCTTCATTTTATAGACACAGATAATACCCAAAATACAATATTTATCCAGCTAATTCGGCAGGGACAAAATTAAAATCAGTGTTTCCTCCAATATGACGTATTCTCTTTGCTGAGTGTGGAGCTTATGCATGGGCTACTTTACAGGAGTTAAATCTCCAGAAGTAATGGGAAAAATGTATTTATCTAGGGTATAACAGTAGTAAGACTGAGATCAAAAAATAGATAACTCAAGATTATATTTTAAAATTGTGTTATCTACAGAAACTATCTGCAAAGTTATAAGGTCTCTAGATTTTTAGGTGCCATAATTTTCAGTGTGAACAAAAACTTACCTGATTAAGAAGCTGCTGCTTGGAAAAATTTGGGTAGGAAAAAAAGAGGCCATGTAAATTCTGGTATTTAGTCTACTCATAAGACTAATCACTGCTAAATATTCATTTCAAAAATATTTTCTTCCTGTTTCAATGGTCATGTGCAGTCAGTACAACAGAAACTCTACTCAGTAATTATAGGCAACAGAGCTCCAGTTCCTCAAAAACTTTGAAATTTTAGTGTTATACTTTTATTACTTTTTAGAACATCACCTTTATTTATGACTTAGGTGAAACATGAAACACAAAAGACGAGACTGTTCCGAAGCTAAGAACAAAGCCTTTTCTTTAAAAACAAATACGCTAAAACCAACAAATCATATGCTGAATCCAAATAAAACCAGGATATCCATACATCAAAATTAACTGAATTCCTTGAACTTTATCCCTTTAAAAATAACCTAAGTCCCAAATGCACCCTAACTTTTCCTCCCTTTTCTGAATTTCTTGCAACCCACTTTCTATAATTCATAACACTTCTTTGTATTATCTAAATTGTTTTTATGCAGATAGGCAGTAATTATATCTCAAACCAGACAGTAAGTTACTTTGAGGAGAAGAGACTTCACAATATTTAGCACTGTACAATGATGTAAGTAAGAGGCATACAGTAAAGACCAGTTGGCATGTAATTTTTGTAAACATTGCCCTAGGATGATGTGTATTGTTGGTAGGATGTAGAACCTAGGAGTCTGATATAAAGTACATACATAAGGTCAGATCTAATAGATTTCTACCTAGTTATAAAGGGGCTAGCACATTATAGTCTTGGCTTGCTAATATTAAAAGCAAAACTACAGTCTAATTACCAACAGCACAGTATTTAAGTGAAAAAAAACCTGCAGGCATTCTTTATTGCAACCAGGATTAAACAGCAACTGTAAGTACTATTCTATTTAATATCAGGATTAATACGTAATACATAATCCAAAAACAATACACTGAAGATACTCAGTTAAAAGCCTTCTTGACGTTGCATTTCTACTTCTTGTAACGATTGTCCTGGAAAACCTGTGTTAGCTCTTCTACCTTCCTTTGCAGCATGCCTATGGGGGAAAAGTCAGACAATCATTAATCTTAGGTGGAAATATCCTACAAACACAATAATTTATATTATCCCTTCAGCATATAATTTATGAAACTTTATGCATCCGTTTTAATAGCTTTGAGTTTTAGAAAATACAGCAGGAAAAAAGTTATTCATCTATCTGTTTGAACTATGAAAACAGTAGACAAGACTGTTCCTTTTCTGTTCTCCCTAACTTTCAGGAAAAGCCATCTACTTGACATATATGTTTTGTTGGAGTGAAGTGTTAACTGCTTTTGTACTTACTACAGCTTCAAAGTGCCATACAGGGTGATTACTACATTGGGGGGATCGGTTTTGGTAGGTCTTACCTACCTATAAGCAAACCGAGTCCACTGAGTATATTTACACTTCTGTTTCTTTCTAATGGTTTATTTAACTTAGTGGTTCTTAGATTTGCTCAGGAACAGAGCACCACAAAATACCATTAGTTTTACCATATCAAGCAGAAACATTCTGTTAGTTAAAATAAGCTGTTGAAGTAAGCATGATAATCTGAGTTTTTCTATTAACAGGTACAAATAAACTTGGTCATTTGCTTTAGTGTCCATTAATGCTTATGATCAATAAGCAATAACCGGTGCCCAAGAAGAAAAAAATTTTACAAGAGAAAAACTAACAAATGTAAACAATGCACAGTTGACCCTTGAACAATGGGTTTGAACTACATGAGTCCACTTATATATGGATTTTCTTCTATTTCTGCCACCCTGAGACAGCAAGAGCAATCTCTCCTCTTCCTCCTCCTCAGGCTCCTCAATGTAAATAACAAAGGTGAAGACCTTTATGATGATACATTTTCACTTAATAAATAGTAAATGTATTTTCTCTTAAGATTTCCTTAACATTTTTTTCTCTAGCTTAACGGTAAGAATACATATAACGTACGCCATAAAGGCGGCATCAATGTATACATGATCTATGTGTTTATGACTTAATAAAAAAAGAATACATATATAATACATATACAAAATATGTGGTGATGGATTACTTATATTATCAGCAACACTTCCAGCCAACAATAGGTTATTAGTAAAGTGTTAGAGGAATGAAAAGTTATTCATGGATTTTCAACTGTGTGCGTGGGAGGGTGAGCACCCTTAGACCCCCACATAGTTCAAGGATCAATTGTATTTTAATTTTCTTCAGCCAACTGGAAAAACTCTAATGTTACTCAATTTTTAAAGTATAATATATCATTCCGTCTTTTAACAAAGAGACATTTTGCAAGATCATGCTTTAAGAACAAGTGAGTCAAATGTTGGCTGTCTACTAAAAGGCCAGAAGAACTGTGTATGTTAAGCATGGCAAAATAAATCTTTTTTTTTTGTAATACCTAACCGCAGGGTGCAATTTTTCCCCTAAATAACATTTTTTAATGTGATGGAAGCACAAATGAGCAATACAACAAACCATTAATTCGAGACCAGAAGTGTCAACATAAGCACAATCTCCTAATTTGCTGATTGATACATATTAAAATGCAAAGGAGTATATTTATAACAATTTAAAAAATCAATAAAAATGTCAAGAAACACAAGTCAGCATTATTAAGAGAGCCTTACTATAAACATTTTGTCATGTCTTCTAATTGAATTCCCAGGACTATTCCTATACTAACATACTTTAAACCAGGGGTCCTCAAACTTTTTAAACATGGAGCTAGTTCACTGTCCCTCAGACCGTTGGAGGGCTGGACTGCGGGCCCCCAGGACAAGTCGGCTGCTAAGCAGGACAGGCAGCTGCAGCAAAAACACCCAGCAGGCCAGATAAATGTCCTAGGCAGGCCGTAGTTTGAGGATGCTTGCAAACTTTTTAGGACTTTAGGACTTTCATTCTTTAAGGGTAAAAAACTGCACCTAGGCACTTACTGCCCAGAATTCTGATCCCATGATAAACATCACTGTTCCTGCTAGCATACTAAATTATACATCATATTAGAAGTAAAATATCAGTTATATGGCATACAGATTTTGACATTAAAAATCAGTTGTGCTGGTGTGATGTCGTGGAGCTGGCAGAAGCTACCTCATGTGTACTTCCAGCTTTCCTCCTGGCCCCTTGGCCTGGCTGTTGGCGGCCATGGGTCGCTCCTGCCAGACTCCCTAGCCCGCCAGGTGAAGGTGAAGTGGCAGAAGCCGGACCTTGGTGAGATTCACCGCAAGCTGCGGCCCCAGGGTCCCACACGGCCCCTGTCCAACCCAGGCACTGAACCCGACCCTGACCTGCCAGGGGGCGGCCTACATCTCTGTCCGGCCTGCGCGAGGTACTTCATCGATTCTGCCAACCTGAAGACCCACTTTGGATCCAAAGAGCACAAGAAAAGGCTGAAGCAGTTGAGTATCGAGCCCTACAGTCAGGAAGAGGCAGAGAGGGCAGCGGGTATGGGTTCCTATGTGTCCCCCAAGAGACTTCCAGTGCCAACAGAAGTGTCCACTGATGTCCCTGAGATGGACACATCTCCCGGGGATGCAAGGCAGATGAGCGGCCCATGGACAGTGATGCAAGGACCAGGCTAGGAGAATGTGCCAATTTCTTTTAGTCTTTGGGTTTGGGGGAGTGAATGGCCTCTTTTGGGTGCCCTTCCCCCAATAAAGGAACTGGACAAAGAATTTAAAAAAATAGTTATACTGAATAATATGAAAATAAAACAGTTTAAGATAGGATCAAAAAATCAAAATACTCAGGAATAAACAAGTGAAGCATAAGACCTGTACACTGGAAACTACAAAACATTGCTAAGAGAAACTAGAGAATGTCTATATAAATAGAGATAGTCCACATTCATTGAAAGATTCAATATTGTTAAGATGGCAATTCTCCACAAACTGATCTACAGATTGAACGTAATCCCTATGAAAATTCCAGCTCTTTTTTTTTATAGAAATAGACAAGCTGATTTTAAAAGTATATGGAGAGGCAAAGGATCCAGAATAGCCAAAACAATCTTGAAAAAGAACAAATTGTTAAGACTTAATCCACTGTTAAAACTGACAAGTCTGTAGTAAGCAAGTCAGTGTAGTATTGGCATAGGCTAGCCATAGAGATCGATAAAACAGAAACAAAGTCCAAAAATAAAACTTTTTATTTATGATCAATTCATTTTGACAAAGGTACCAAGCCAATTCAGTGGTGGAAAGCATAATCTTTTCCAACAAATTGTGCTGGGACACTTGGATAATTACATGCAAACGAAACTGAACCCCCACCTCTATGCATAAAAATCAACTCAAGATAGATTATTAATCTAAATGTCAGAGTTAAAACTATACTTTAAAAACAATAACAAATGTCCATCAACTGAAAAATGGAAGAAGAAAATGTGGTGTGACTATGACATTGAATGCTACACAGTAATAAAAAGAAATAAAGTACTGATACATGTTACAACATGGATGAGCCTTGAAAACATTAGGTTAAATGAAAGAAACTAGACAGAAAGGGTTGCATATAATATGAATTAATTTATATAAACTCTCTAGAAAGGGAAAGTTTATAAAGACAGAAAGTAGATTGCTGGTTTCTGAGGTTTGAGATAGGAATAGGGAATAAATGCAAATGGGCAAGAGAAAATATGGGCCACAATGAAAATGTTTGCATGATGTTTGCACAACTCTATAGCCCTAGCTAAACAGACATTGGTTAAAATGATACATTTATGTATTTGAAAACATTATTGAAAAATGATTTATTACCCCCAAACGATTTTGGTGAAACTCCTTCCAGTCAATCTCATTCTATTTTGGGGTCAGGTGTTTTCATTAACTTTAGCCTATTGCAAATATTTTAGGTAAAGATTCAAAAAATGGTTATGAAAAGCGATTTAGTCATTCAATCCAAATACAGCTTTCTAGTGTATTTTTTTTTGTTTTTAAAAGAAAAAAGAAAGTATTATACTCTTGTAAGCCATGATATATTTCTTATTCTCCTAGAAAAACAACTGGAACAGTAGGAGAAAAAATATCCTGACAGAAAAATAGTCAAAAGACACAATGGGCAACTTATAAAATGATGTATGAATTGTTTGTAAACATTTTCTAAGTGCTCAACCTTAACCTCACTAGTGACCAGAGGAATGCACATTAAACTAGGGAAATATTATTTTTATCTATAAATTTTGGCAAGGAATGATCATAATGATGGTAGTAGTGGTGGTTATAGAAATAGTAGTAATGGAGGGAGTGTAGAAAAATGGAATCCTAAAGAATTGCTGGTAAATATATGAATCAGTTCAACATTCCTGGAAGGAAATATATATCTAAAGCCTTCAAAACAGATATTACTCCTAATTTAGCATCTTAACTTCTTCTTCTTCTTTTTTTTTTTTTTAGGACAGAGCCTCAAGCTGTCTCCCTGGGTAGAGTACCGTGGCATCATAGCTCACAGCAACCTCCAACTCCTGGGCTCAAGTGAATCTCCTGCCTCCACCCCCCAAGTAGCGGGGACCACAGGCCTCCGCCACAACGCCTGGCTATTTTTTTTGTTGCAGCCGTCATTGTTGTTTGGCAGCCCAGGCTGGATTAGAACCCGCCACCATAGGTGTATGTGGCTGGCGCCTTAGCCACTTGAGCCACAGGCGCTGAGCCAGCATCTTAACTTCTAAGAATTTTATTTATGTGCACTAATCATGGATGTACCTTAAAATTGAACTCCAGCTAGGATTACTGCAGCATAATTTAAAACAGCAAAAAGTTAGAAATGTTAGCCAATAACTAACAATGGGCTATTAATTAAATTATGGTATATCCATATAATGTGATATTTAGCAGCCATTAAATGTAGAATATTTAATAACATGGAAAGATGTTTGGGTGCATGTCTGTCTGTCAGCTAGGTATCTCTTTCTCCATCAAAAATGAAATACAGTGTGCTGTGTACATATCAGAGGACAAATAAACTAAAATCATATATTGAACCCCAAGCTCATGCCAGGCACTACTAAATTCTGAAGATACAGAAATAATTAAAACATTATGAGGAAGCTCATATTCCAGTGAACAGACATGTAAATAAATGACTATAATACTGTAGGATAAATGCTGACACTGTATTTTGTAGAACACAGCATAGATAGAAAGAAGGGGATAAACAACTACTAGAAAGATGAATAAAGGAAAGCTTCAAAGAAGAGATGGCGTATAAATTATATCTTAACAAGGGAGCAGCCACCAGGTAGACAGGGTAGCAGACTCCAGGCAAAGGAAATTGAACATCCAAAAATGTGGAAGATGAAAGAACATAAGGGGTTTACAAAACCATAAATACTTCTTAGAGGTGAGGTTGGAGAAACAGATAGTGGTTCAGGGGTGTCCAACCTGTGGCCCACAGGCCACATGTGGATTATGTGAGGACTATTTTGCTTATCTGTAGTGTCAAATATTACAAAAATTATGCACATATATTTTCTTATTTGCTCATCAGCTTTCGTCAGTGTTTGTGTATTTAATGTGTGGCCCAAGATGACTCTTTTTCCAATGACTGGCAGAGAAGACAAAAGGTTGGACACTCATATTATATAGGGTACTTTGTATATAACATGCAAAGAACCAGGATTTATCTTGGCAATGAAAACTAGATAGGGATTTTAATAAAGAGATGACTAAAACACAGTATAATTTTATCGATATCACTATGACATTATTTTGAAAGTAAATTTGAATGGGATAAAGCTGAAGGAAGGAGACTGCTAAGGTCTCTGTTAGAGATTAAACACACACATTTACCAGTTACATTTCAAATCACCTGTAAAATAGCAGTGAAGCAATTTTAAAAAGAAGAAAAAGATAAAAGCATAAAACCATAAAGACAAAGACACCAAGAAAGGAAACAACAATAAATCTCTGAAAATTGCAACTGGATTTGAACTGGAGAACACCGGAAAGGATATGGAATGAGTAGAACTAGGTAATTTAAAGTGGTATTGAAAGTGGAGCTGAAAACAGGATTATGAATGAATAAGCAGCAGATTCCTCGTCCCCTTCATATCCTACATCTGGGCGATTTTCCCTATCCAAGTTCAGCAGTTGATTTTTCTTTGAAAAGAGCAAAACAAATGAGCTCCAGGTCAGGGACACCAGGTGGAGCTGAGGGTAATGATTTCGTACCAAAAACAGAAATCAAGTGAAAGTTTACAAGGTATTAAGTGAATGCCTATAAACTGTATATTAAACCCTCCAGTCCCTTCTCCAACAATTTCCAGAACACTGGCTTAAAACTACCAGGAGCTAGAAGATTCTCCTCCAAGTATACCAGCTGAGGAGTAAAAATGCTAAACATAATAGTCAGAGGTCCCCCGATGAAAAGGTCTAGCTGAATTACCCTGAAAGTTAATAAACCCCACTTATAAATTTTTTTTATAAAAACGGAAAAAGTAAACAGAAAGGTAAAGAAAGCCAAAAGAAACAATTCAGAAAGAATAAAATGGATATATTTAAAAAAATCATTGATACCCTCAGAGAAATGATACTGAGTTCATGAAATAACAGAATGCCATTTAAAAAGCACACACACAATCACATAATCAGAAGATAACACAATGAGTTCAAAAGGATGGCAATAAAAGTCAAGTACACTTTGGGAAGAAGTATGGAGAATCCTCAAAGAACTCAAAATAGACCTTCCATTTGATCCTGCAATCCCATTACTAGGCATCTACCTAGAAGAAAAAAAAATCATTTTATCATAAGAACATTTATACTAGATTCTTTATCGTAGTTCAATTCACATCATCAAGATGTGGAAACAACCTAAATGCCCATCAACCCAGGAATGGATTAATAAAGTGTGGTATACATATACCATGGAATACTAACCTGGATGGAGATGAAATACATTCTTCTTAGTAAAGTATCCCAAGAATGGAAAAGCAAATATCCAATGTACTCAATATTAATTATGAAGCCAGTGAAAGATCTAATATACACCCACACGCACACAAAATTCAATTCAAGTTGGGGGAAGGGTGAAGAAGGGAGGGGAGAGAGAGGAGTAGGGAGGAGGATCGGTGTGCTCCCACTTAATGGGCACAATGTGAGGGTATATGGCACACCTCCTGGGGGTGGGATACAACTACAACAGGGACTATACCTAACAAATGTAAACATTGTAACCTAATCGTTTGTACTCTCAAATTAACCTGAAATTTAAAAAAAAAAAAGTTGAGTACATACTCCAGAAAATTTAACAGAAATATAAAGAGAAAATATGAGGAAAAAGAAATTCAGACTGGTTTAGTGAATCAAACATTAGAAGAAGAGGATTTCAGAAAGAATAGAGGTGACATGGAGAAGGAAATCAGCAGAAATCTAATTCCAGAAAACAGACCCAATCTGAAAGAAATGAGTTTCTTCTTTTTTGAGGCAAAGTTTTGCTCTGTCACCCTGGGTTGAGTGCTGTGGCATCAACTTAGCTCACAGCAACCTAAAACCCTTAGGCTCAAGGGAACCTTCTGCCTCAGTGTTCTGAGTAACTGGAACTGGAGGTGCCCACCACGATGCCTGGGGAATTTTTCTATTTTTATTTTTTATTTTATTATTATTTTTTGAGATAGAGTCTATGTCACCCTTGGTAGAGTGCTGTAGTGTCAGCTCACAGCAACCTC